CCAATATCCGAATAAATTATAGGAATCACGATTGGCTCAGTGGACGAGCGATTCTCGCTGCCAAGAACAAAGATGTCTACCAGCTCAATCATGTAATCCAATCCAGCATAGAAACTGACGAAATTACATATAAGTCGATAGATACCGTTGTGGAGGCAGATGAAGCAGTTAATTACCCTACCGAATTTCTAAACTCACTTGATCTGCCTGGAATGCCACCACACATATTGAAATTAAAAATAGGTGTGCCGATTATCATGCTCCGGAATATAAAACAGCCGAAACTCTGCAACGGTACGCGACTCGCAGTCAAGAAATTGATGAACAACATAGTAGAAGCAACGATCATAACTGGTCCTTTCAAAGGTGAAGATGTCCTCATTCCTAGGATTCCTATGATCCCGACAGATACACCGTTCCAGTTCAAGAGATTGCAGTTTCCCATTCGTTTGGCGTTTGCAATGACCATAAATAAAGCTCAAGGTCAATCTCTGGAGTTGTGTGGTCTGGATTTGGATGAAGATTGTTTTTCACACGGACAATTATATGTTGCGTGTTCACGAGTCGGAAAACCAAAAAGTATTTATATTTACGCGGAGAATGGAGAAACAAAGAATATTGTATACCAACAAGTATTACAGAATTAAATTAATTTGAAAATGATTATTTTTTGTTTGACTTATTTCTTATGCGTTCAACCACAATATGCCACAGAGAAACGTGGCAGTCCATTTGGAGAATGGTCAACGTGTCTATTTCACAGAAAAAAATGTGCAAGAAAGAGTCCTGAATCGGCCAGCGACAACTCTGACTGCCTTCTTCACCTTATGCCAGGAAGATGATTTTGCCAGAACCTTGATGTATTCAGAAGTGCCCTCTTAACCATAATATGCCACAGAGAAACGTGGCAGGGCACAGCTAGTTATTTATAAATGACCTCCCCAAAGTCTTAACTAACTCGGGAGTACTTAGGTACTCCAGCGAGTTTAAACATTGCCTGCTATACAAAGACGTTGCCTTCCAGTCGGATTTACAAACAGATCTTAATCATTTTCAAACTTGTTTCCGCGTAAACTTATTAATCTTAAAGGCTCTAAATACAAGCTAATGACATTCTCTCGTGTCGTTCCTAAGCTTGCTACTTACACTCTGAACTTCTGCTCTTTAGAAAGAATGAGTTCAGTTGATGATTTGGGCGTCCGCTTGAACCATAAGCATAACTTTATCGATCATATTTCGTCGATGGTGAATAGAGCCAGGGGTGTGTTTGGCAACGGTGATCGAAGAAAATCTGTATTTGTTTCTTTAGTTCGTCCTGTCTTAAAATTAGGATGATGCGTCTATAGTAAATGCAACGAATGGGTTCGAAAGAACTTTTTAAAACCAAAGATTACCTTCTTACTCTAATAGACTACTCCTAATTAACTTACCATCCTTATAACCAACCGTATAACTGTACTTGGCATAACCTTTATCTATAACCTCATTCATGGTGATGTGGAAAGTGCTGCCTCTTTGAGTCAGTTAAATTTCCATACACCAAGTAGAAATACTAGTTCCTATATAGCCTTAGTTTTGTACCACTGTAGAGCTTTTTTTAATTGTATGAGCCTTTCAAAGTATAATGTGCAAATTATAATGATTTGTACACATTAATCTCTAACGTAGAAAGTCTTCCCAAACTTAAAACTTTAATTCTATCCACTTAGTAATACATATTGCCGCGACTGTTGTGTATGAATATTATTGCTTCGTCGCGAGGTACTGCAGCCAAGCATTGCTTGACGCGTCAGATGGGCCTTCTGCTCCGCACGCGCTCTCATCGTCGTCTCTAGGTTCAGCAAACATTTTAAAATGCCTGCCGTGAATTTGGCTTGACTATCTGTTTTGCCGACCAGCCTCTCGAAAGCTGGTAACTATGGCACGCGCACTGCTTGCAAAGCGCTGTCGCCGAGTGGGATTCGCCAAGATCTTGGAGAGGTAACCGCTATGATGTCAGTGAGTTTGGAAAGGGTATAACTTACAGTCTCTGTTGATGATGTCAGGAATGTCGTGGCACGGCATTTTAGGATGTTCACTGTGTTGCTTTTTAACCGTGTCGTGTTAGATTGGCGGCGAAAAGAGTCCGGAAAACTTGATCTTCTAAAATATCGTAGCTTTTGCGCGATCGATCTGGCTCTGCGAATCAGTTTGATCGCGGATTTAGCTATGTACCCCTATCGCGGGTACCAGACTCGGCTTACATTAGCGTCAACCGAACGTAACGATAAGGTCACAGGTTCTGCTTAGCCTAATGTTAAACCTATAAAATATGTTCTAACATATGGGTAAGTATACTCTTAAAGCTAACTAACACTAGTAATAATGAAAAAATGAAACGATGAAGGGGCCGACGCCGTATCGGGGCCCTCCTGTGAAGCGCTATTTATGCGTCTCTTGGAACAGGCGTCACAAGCTTCCTCTTCCCCTGTTAAGGGCCTGTTAGGCTGGCCTGGTAGTGCGGGTACTCCAGGTGTTCTCTGTACGAGAGACGAGTGTCCAGGATGATCCCCCAGGATGACCCCCAGGTACCTGATTGGGTGATGGGTAGCCAGACAACCCGGATCTCCGCTGTCTCGACGCGATTCCTGCACGAAATCAGGACTGCTTTGGTCGTTTGCGAAGCTAGTTCTATTCCGGCGACTCTGCGGTATGTCATCCACAAAGCCGACGATGGTGATGTTCGACGGGAGTGGAAGGTTAAGCACTCTTTCTTTCATGATGTTCCGAAGCAGTGGACCCAAACCGGAGGCCTTCGGGACTCGACGGGCGTTCTTGAACCGTGGGAGATGTACAGGATGAGAATCCTCTTTCTGCGGATGATTTCTGCTAGTAGCCAGGGATGGTAAAAAGGCTGCCAAGCCTCCAGCGTCCTTCTCCTGTCGGCCGAATTGAAGGCGTTTCGGATGTCCAGTGTAATCACCAGGGCCGTTCCTCCACCATAGGTCGGTACAAGGAGGGTTCTCCCACCTTTTGCGGAAGGTTCTTTTCAACACGCATTTGTTCAACAAGTCGGCGAATGCCCTCGGGTGCAGCGAGATTGAATCGAGACCAGGTGCCTTTTTGTTAACCAGGCTCCTTGCCACCTCCTGCTTCAATCTCCCCGGGGTCGATGCTCCCAGGGGAGGTGCGCGGTTGTCCCTCCGGAAAGAGTATCCGTATCTGCTAGTGTCGCACGTTTACTCCACGAATATTGATATCTTATTCCCTGCATCGTTGGCTCCGCCCGCATCTCCCACTTCCAATCCTTCTCGGGAACTCGTGGAGGCTTGAACTACGACAGTGGCCTGCCGGTATGGAATTTGAGAGCTAGGCGGGACCGTTCTTTCCAACGTCCTCCCTACGAGTGTGACCTGGATGGCCTCATGGTCGTTGACAGTGACAGATCCACCATGTGACTTGTCGAGCTAATGAGTTGTCAACGTGAGTTAGGTCAATAATTGACCCTGCTCTCGCTTTGCTAAAATTAAATCAGTCTGCGTTCCACAGCCTTTTTTCCAAACTTTGGGAGTCTGCTGCTCCTTGTCTTGCCTCCGGATACTTTCTACTGGGCTGTCACCATTGCGTGTGCATTTTGAGCTCACTGCAACCCTCTCTTGGCATTCCGCTTCCTCTATTTCCCGAGCAGAGTTCAGCCAGTATTAAATATCCACTTGCAGGTCCTTCAAGCGTTCTAGCTTGGTCTACATCGCCAGAGTTATGTGTCTGACCTGTTTCTCGTTTATCTTGTTGAGGACTTCGTCCAAGAGTCTGCCCATCTCCGAGATTTTACCTTACACTTATCGGCGGAGTGTTGCGATGAGAGCTTGTCGGGCTGGCAGCATCTCGCATCATACCGTAACCGAACACTTCTGTAGCTTTGCTCGCTGGTCGGATCGGTGATCTCAAGAGCGGAACTCAGTTAACGAAATATCAATTAGAAACTATTTAGAATTTTAAGTTTTACTTGGGCTTTTGGTTTTTAGACATACAATTTCGGAACACGGATAATTTAGGTAGGTATTAATTGCAGGATTGCGTTGGATTTGGATTTGGAAACTGCCGCAGTGTTGGAACAATTGGTCATAGATTTCGACAAGAATCATACAATGAAGTTAGACGATCTGAGCTTTGTAAATGTAACTCTATGACCGGATGCAATATTGTGAATATATGTAACCATATTGACAGATATTAAAAGTTTGCTATCGGTAAGGCCAAAATGTTCTTGGTATGTTAGCTGTCTTATATGGTTATAATTAAAATGATTTGCATTGTTCTGCTATACCCTGGCACGCGCTCGAATTTGGGATCTTCAGTTGTGTCCCGCTTCTACTAATTTCCTTTGCATTTGGAGTTAAATGATGAAACATTTTGCGGTTTATTAATAATTATGTAAAACCTGGACATATATCTTTATATATATAATATATATTTATAAACATTATAAATATATATATACATGTGTATATATGTATGACTGTATCTAGAAGCTAAAGTCTAACTCGAATTAAGTTGTTGGTTAGATATGGAATTTTATTAATTAAGATGAGCTGATACATATATAACTTTCAAATATAAATTTAGTTTGATATAAAAGCATACGTCGAGCAAATGCCTTTAGTTGCCTTTTGTTCTTTACTTAATTTTATTATCCTTAATTGGTACTCTGCACATACAGTCCAACAAAGTAATGTTCTGTCCAGTCTCGGTGTAACATGGGAATACGAATGTATGTTTCTGGAAGAAGACTGTAGTAAATAGGGACTTCACCGTTGGTGGGATATTAAAGGGAGTTCTGATGGAAAATGAGCAGATTCGACTAAGTTACGATAGTAAAATGTCACTGACGAGAATAAAAAATATCTATATATATATTTAATGTTTATATATACATATAAAAAACAAAGAATAAAAGAAACAATTCTCCCTTGCTTCCATGTTCATTTAACTTCACTTTACTTTATTTTAATTACTTTCAGTTCCCCCAGCAATAAAGGCATTTAATCAATTGGTAGGTGCGCCTTTGGATAGAGAAGTGACTTTAGAATGCATTGTGGAGGTATATCCCAAGCCTCTAAATGGCTGGTTTCGCAATGAAGGTAACCCAGCAGTAGTAGTAATAATGATTGCCTAATAAACTATTTAATACATTTTAGGCAACATCAAACTCCATAATGGAAGTAAATATAATATAACAGAAACAATGATTAGCCAGTACTCATGGCACCTTAATCTGACTATAAGGCATCTGACAAAATCCGACTTTGGAGCTTACAGCTGCTCAAGCGTTAATGCCCTTGGAAAAAGTGAAACGCGCATTCGTTTACAAGGTACTGAATAGCCGTGACATTATTAAATTTGATAATTCTAAATATTCAAATTATCTTCCTCTTAGACGGAAACAATTCCAAAAATTCTTAAAATAAAAAAAAAAATAATAAATAATGACTACTTGGTAAATTGAAAATGAAAATGGTGCAAATAAGTAAAGCATCTTCCGAGTGTGTTATGATCACCATTCATAGCCGAGTATGTTTAGTAGACCTCAATGCCCATATTTCCACTATAGTTCTGACGATGAATAAAATTTTTATTTTATTGTTATTTATTTGCTTATATAATTCATTCCATTCCATTATATTATGGACATGATTACTAAAATCGCTTAAACTAATTGCAGAACTCTTTTTTTAATCGTCTTTAGTGTAGCCATACTTTAGTTAATTTTTATTTTTTTATTTGTAGTTATTTATTTTTATTTTATTCAATTTTCTTAAATTTTAAGAGTTGATAACAGAAAAGAAAATTTTTTTCTCTTTATGTTGTTTGTGCTCTTTATTTTTGTGTTTGTTTTATTATTGTTAGACTCTACTTTATTAATAACGTTAGCAGAGGAGTCCACTGACTATTGCCATTTTTGGATTATAATTATTAATATCTGTTTCTTCAAAAAATTTTCTTATTGCATTTCTTTGCATTTACTTTTACAGGTTTTCTATCTATAGTTTTGTATAGCTTTACGGGCTACACATCTAATTGGGCAGAAAAAGTTCCGCTCAATTTTACAAAAAAATTTTTCTTATGTATTATAAATGTTTATATTTTAAATAATATCTAGTTATATTTCTCCTTTGGCTCCAATCGGGGATGTCTTCATAGTCCGGTTGCATCAGCTGGTTGGCTCGCTGATGCTCCTTCGCTGGCATAAGGGGCGACCTGTCCCTCACACTTGTTGATTCAGCTGCAGATCTCCTGGGCCTATAAGATCAAGCGGAACCGGTGCCGGTCATCGCACAGGTTTCAAACAGGTTGATATGTAGAATGGACTCTCCAATGGCAATCCTTGGAACATTCCTTTTCTTTTTTTAACAGCTGTTTTGGAATTGGAGGTGTTATTATTGTTTTCTCGTTAATTTGCTTAATAACTGAGTGAGCTGGAACCTTGGGCATTATTATTACAAGACTTGATTTAAGGAAATTAAGTTCTTGCAGCGGGGGATGATTTGTAAATAATAGCCACTTAATATGCGGTATTCTTTTATTTATTTTATTCTTCACGCCCCCCTTTTTGCCACTCACTCACTCACTCAGATTTATTTGTTCCATTTTTCCAATCTTCTCCCTCCTTTTCGGTTGAATTTTTCAAATTATCGACAGGTATCTTTGTCACGGTCGCCATAAAGTAAGTCCAAAGGGTCGCCATAAAGTAAGTTCAAGTTAGTTTTTGGTGTAGGTTTCTTTATTTTGTGGAAGCAGCAATGGTGCCTCTCCAACGTTTATACCTTTCCTGATTTGCATTATTCTTTTTCATTCTAAGTAAGGTTAAGTCTCGTTGCTGCGCTGCACGCAGACGGCGGCAGAGAGACGGCTATGTACATACATGCTTAAGTATATAGGCTATGCTTTCTTAAACAGGAACGCGAGGTATATGCACATGTCGTCCGTTCGTGTTACAATTATGCCGATGATAGCACCAGCGATCGGTTCATATTTCGGCCACTTGGGTTTATGTCCGGGACATTTTAAATATGTATACAATGCAACAAAGTGTTACAGTGTGTACCCTTTAAGTACTCTTGGTAAAGTGGGTATACAATATGTGCATACTGCACTATCTGAATGAAACTGTGCAGTAAGTCTTATATATACTATAACTCGTATGTGTGTCGGACCGATCCAGATCGGACGACTATTTCATATAGCTGCCATAGAAACGATCAAGAAATTAATAGAATTTAAAATAATAACTCTTTCAGTTTTTTATCAAAGAGATTTATTATTCCAGAATTTTATATTAATTTTATGAAAATTGAAGAACTTAATGATATAGCTGCCATAAAAACGATCGTAAGATAATGTAAAACTGTAAATCTAGTATATAAAAATAGAGCGGGTTTTCCTTCCTGATGATTTAACTCCAGAACGCACGAACCGGATTCGCTGGTTTTGCATTTGTTGGAAATGTCTCGGAGTCCGTGACGCAAGGAACAAAGATCATTCAGAAAAAATTTCAACAGAAAAGCGGGAAATCCATCACTGATATATGTATAGCATTCTCTACAAACCAAAATATCAAGTAGTCGTTTCCTAACATTTCAATTGGAAACAATAAAATAAATATAGTGTATTGTGAAACTTTTTGTTCAACTTCAACAGCATGCATTTCTCAGTTGAAATGTGTTAATTATGTGGATCGTGTATATGAGCTCAAATTCATCACTCTTTTCATAGTCCCAAATGCCTAAAGGGTGACGCGAACATCATCCGCCGCACAAGACATGCAAGCCAGCAACAAGTGTGTTCACAGAACTTAAGCGAAAGAAGACAAAATATAATAAGAGAAAATATCCTATTGAGACAACGCGTGAGCACACGAAGATCATAAGCATCATAAAATTCTTTGGCATTCCAATATGATAGCACTGAGAACTACAGTGATTTAGATATTGGACGACTATATGCCGATATTGCAATGCGTTAAAGTTCAAAAGAGAAACGGCGAGATTGGGCTGCGCAAGTGAAAAAGTTAAAGTGGCTCCATCACTTTTCAAATATAAAACAAAAATAAAAAAAAAATGTGCCGAACAAAATGCAACAAGACGGACCCGATTCACATTACCGCAGAATAGACGAAATTTTAATAAAAGAAGACAACCTGTAAATTTAGGCTTGAATCGCGCTTATGCAGCGTTGGCTGTATCATCTGGCATGGCAGCCACGTTGTTCAAAGCTGTCGAACTGCACATTCCGCATTGAAGCTGCATTTCAATCTTCTTTCGGTTGAAAATCCAACGTGCACCATGACCAAAAGCTCGGAGACAGCAAAATTGATGCGAGAATCTAAAATTATTGCTAAAGGATTTTACAGGTGATTCAAGATTTTTTGGTGGGACTTTAATATTTTTCTCAGGCTGTGAATAAAATTAATGCTTACCTGAAATCGTCCTCTTTTGTTGTCAAGTCAAGAAATTTAAATTAATTATGAAATTGAGTCAACTTACAACTGTTGGCGCTTGGCAATGACAATATTCCTAAAGATGCTTCTACTGGAATGACATCGTTGCAGACAAATGTTTGAGAATTCACGTCATTAAAGAGGAAGTCACCAACAAAGTTTTTTTCCGACGTTACCCAAAATTATAAAAATCTCGATTTGATTAGAGAACGAGCAACGAAGAATAAATAGTTGGAACTCCATTCAAAGTCAGATCGTTAGAAAGCTTCATGCATACAAATCCGTTGACGGAGTGACCAACGAGGATTAAGAGACTGACTATCCAACGGAGTTTGTGTACTTGCTTTATGTCCCAGGAGCTCCGCCGCATAATTTACAGCTCAAGGTTGGCTAAATCACATTCACGTTGCGGAATCTGTCTAATCCGAAATTGTGCAATGTTACGAGGTTTTCCGCCAAGAAACTAATGAACAATGAAACTCAAGCAATGATCATCAAGGGAAAATTCAAAGGAAAGGAAGTCCTAATCACACGAATTCTAATAATTCCAAATGATTTTTCATTTCAATTTAAGCGAATTCAGTTCCCAGTTCGGATGGATTTTGCGATGACAATCAATAAATCATAAGACCAGCGTTGGAAATAGCATGGGCTCGTGTTCGAAACAGGTCTTCCTTGTTTATTTTTGCTACGGAATATAAAGAAAAAAATATAGTTTATCGTATCGCCCTCAACTTATGAGATTCAAATACATTTTATAGAAATTTGAATTAGCTGCATTTTGTTATCACTCCGGAGTTAAATAAAACATTAGTTAGAGGCAAAACAAAATGGGCCGGGTTCACTACTACATCTACATTTTAATTTCTTTTGAATTATATGATTATCTTATTTAGTTTAAAAGATGATTTTTGCAACGTAAAATGATAAAATGAGCTACTGTGCGACGGCCGTATTTCAAACACCGGTCGAACACCTCCTGCATCTGTCCTTTTGCTTTTTTTAATGCATAATTTTGAGTGCTGCGACAAAAATTATGGGGTGAAGGTAAATCCTTACAACACTCAGGCGAAAAGAAAGCTACCAGAAATTCCTTAGCTTTGTTGAGGATCTTTTGATGCTGTTCATACTTTGCTTATTTGTGATTAAATTTCATTTGAATTATATTATGCATTAGCTTGTCTTGGCCTAGAAAATAAAATTGTAATTTGGATCATATGCTATTGCATTGCCACTATAGTGGGACAGTGAGGCAAGCGACAAAGTACGCAGATATGATATTTATTCCCTCCTAAATTTGAGGGTCAATCTTAAATTACAGAAATTTGGTCAACATGATTAGACTGTCAGCCTGTGGAGGTAACATTTTTCACATAAAAGAGCTCGCCGTCTGAGTGTGTCGAACTTGTGCTTGCATTGCAACAAAGTGTCACAATGAATTTGAATTTTTTTCAAGCACTTATTGTGCAGCTTGTATATTTTGAAGAATAGATTTGCGCACAATTACTGGTATAATAATTAGAAGGGTATTAGTCAGTCCAAGTTCAATACTTGAAGACTCTACCTTGTTAATAAGGTTTGCCGCAGAATCTACGGTCTTAGTATCAATTAAACTCATTGCGGGTAGAAAAATTGTGTAATTATAAAGTGCATACCCATTACTTATATTATATATTTTATCTATTCTATTGTTATTCATGCGATTGCAAGACTTCTCTACCTAGTGGGTCGCATGGCTTTATGGGCCACACTTTAGTTGAGTATAGTACAATAATATTAAATTAATTATTTTTAAAACATTATTTTTTAATTTTTCTTTACATGTCAACCTGCCAAATTTATATGCCCCTGCAAATATAACTTCTATGACTAGGAATCCTTACAAT